ACCTGAAAAAAAAAAAGATACAAATGGGGGGAGGGAAAAATTAGGAGAACATGATTAACATATACATACTACTATATAATCAAGGACTTACTGTATGGCACAGGGAACTATACTCAATATTTTGTAATAATGCATACGGGAAAAGAACCTGAAAAAGAATGCACACACACATATATAGTTATAACACATCTAATTATAGCTAAATCTCTGTTATACATCTGAAACTAACATGATATTGTAAATCAACTATACTGCAATAAAGCAAACAAACCAAAAGAATTTTTCAGCTCACAGAGTAAATAGTGCCAAGGGTGAGAAACTGTTCCAGACCTAGGAACTAGTTGTTGTTCAGTCACAAAGTCATATCTGACTCTTTGCAACCCTATGGACTGCAGCATGCCAGGCTTCCCTGTCCTTTACCATCTCCTGGAGTCTGCTCAGATCCATGTCCATTAGGTCGATAATGCCATTCAACAATCTCATCCTCTGTTGCTGCCTTCTCCTGCCCTCAATCTTCCCAGCATCAGGGTCTTCGCAACAGGTAGCCAAAGTATTGGAGCTTTAGTTTCAGCATCAGGCCTCCCGATGAATATTCAAGGTTGATTTCCTTTAGGATGGACTCATTTGATCTCCTTGCTGTCCAAGGGACTCTCAAGAGTCTTCCCTAGNTTTCAAATTTGCTGGCATATTGAGTATAGCACTTTCACAGCATCATCTTTCAGGATTTGAAATAGCTCAACTGAAATTCCATCACCTCCACTAGTTTTGTTGGTAGTAATGCTTCCTAAGGCCCACTTGACTTCATACTCCAGGATGTCTGGGTCTAGGTGAGTGACCACACCACTGTAGTTATCTGGGTCATTAAGACTCTTTTTGTACAGTTCATCTGTTTATTCTTGCCACCTCTTCTTCACCTAGAAAGGTTTTCTTATCTCTCCTTGCTATTCTTTGGAACTCTGCATTCAAATGGGTATATCTTTCCCTTTCGCTTCCCTTCTTTTCTCAGCTATTTATAAGGCCTCCTCAGACAACCATTTCACCTTATTGCATTTCTTTTTCTTTAAGACGGTCATTTCTTCTTTTTGGTTGCTGCATCCTATACAATGTTACGAACTTCCGTCCATAGTTCTTCAGGTACTCTATCAGATCTAATCCCTTGAATCTATTTGTCCACTGTATTGCTCTTTTTTTTTTTTCTGGCAGCACCATGCACCACGTGGGATCTTAGTTCCCTGACCAGGGATCGAACTTGAGCCCCCAGCTTTGGGAGCGAGGAGTCTTAACAACTGGACTGCCAGAGAAGTCCTATTTGTCCACTGTATAACTCTAAGGGATTTGATTTAGGTCATACTTGAATGGCCTCATGGTTTTCCCTACTTTCTTCAATTTAAATCTGAATTTTCCAGTAAGGAGCTCATGATCTGAGCCACAGTCAGCTCCCGGTCTTGTTTTTGCTTATTGTATAGAGCTTCTCCATGTTTGGCTGCAGAGAATATAATCAATCTGATTTCAGTATTGACCATCTGGTGATGTCCATGTTAGAGTTGTCTCTTGTGTTGTTGGAAGAGGGTCTTTGCTATGAACAGTGTGTTCTCTTGGCAAAGCTTTGTTAGCCTTTGCCCTGCTTCATCTTGTATTCCAAGGCCAAACTCGCCTGTTACTCCAGGTATCTCTACTATCAGTTACCTTTCAGGAAATAATAGCACCACAGTGGCACAGTCTATGATTCTGTCCAAATTCAGGCACTCTGTGAAAGCCAGGTCATACGTGGCTCACTCTAATTATTATTATTTTTTGATATGTAAGAGGTAGATTTATTTTGAGAGAAACATATTCTACAGACAGATTGTAAGCTATCTCAGAAGGCAATAGGCCACTCCAGTTGTTTTAAAAAACTGTATTGATGGGTTCTGGGGACTTGTTTGGTGGTCCAGTGGCTGGAACTCCATGTTTGATCCCTGGTAGGGGAACTAGATCTCAAAGGCCGCCCAGACCTGCTGCAGTCAAATAAATTAGGAAAAAAAAAAAAACCCAACTGTAAAGATAGGTTCTGCAACCACTAAGTCTATTCAGAGCTTGAGTGAAATCACTTGTATCTAATGCTAATGTAATATGTACAGCAATTTATTGTTAGACACTAAAAATTAAACAGAAATCACCAGTGATTTATGTCTATATTTTAACTTTATTATTATTTTTTAAAATTTTATTTATTTATTTAGGCTGGACTGGGTCTTTGCTGCAGCATGCAGATTCTTCATTGCAGTGTGTGGACTCGGTTGCATGTGGGGTCTTAGTTCCCTACTAAGGCTGGAATCTGCAGCACCCGCACTGGAAGTGGATTCATAACCACTAGACCACCAGGGAAGTTCCTTAACTTTATTATTGAACAGTCCAAGGCCACAGAGTAAATCAGCTGAATAAATGGCATTAGACAAAGAGACGTTGTACCTTGCAATTAGACTATACATATTCTTTTTCTTTATTTTTATACTTTTGCAGCTTGCATTTTGGACAAAGGTAAGTCTTGTTATTTCTCCAATGGAACTGATGGTCTGTATTTGTTTCTTCTTCCTCCAGGCAACACATACTACCATTTATTCTTCTGATTCATTTCTCCGGGAAAGCTGAAAAGAAGTTTTATAACGATATTATTGGTTTTGTAACTAGTGTTTTCATTGTAATCCTATTACTGAACCAATGTTGTGATAAATGGTCTGTTTATAAGGGGAACCACTTTTACAAGAAGTAGAAAATTAGACACGCTTCTGCTTTGCAATAACAATAAAAACCACAGTGAAAAAATATTCTCCAGCTTATTCCCATCTGTATCAGCAGGGAAGCTTTAGAAGATGACTTTCTCCCTAAGGCCTTCTAAACACAGTTACTGCCTGTGAGTACCAAGTCAAAAACGCAGTTTTCCTCCAAATCCAATTCAAAACCAATCCATTTTAAGTTACAGTAACCGTGGGCCCTTTAAGAAAGTCAAGCACTTTAAACCCCACCCCTCTGCCGACTGGTAGCAGTTAAGTCCTCTCTCCCAATACAGATGGTGATAAAGCTAAGAGAAAGGTAACTTGTCTCCTGAGTGTTTCTATGTAAGCTCTAGAGGTGGAAGCTTTCAGATACTATGGGCTATGGAACAATGGAAACTTGTGAAGAATGGAAGCCAGACTGGCTCTTAAAAGATTCTATCACTGTGCTGGATAAAGTGGAAAGAATGTTAAGTCTGGGTTTCCCCCTTTGATGCTGCTCCCTGCTAGCTTTACTGCTCCATTTCACCCAGCAAGTGAGTTTTCCAGAAGCTGTTTCCAGTTTAACAAGCTGTTTGTCTGCTCTAGCAGATTCCCAAAAGGAAAAGTCAGGGAGAAGAGCAAGTTTCAGTGAAAATTAAACTGGTCACTTCTAACAGAGTTATTTCCATTGGCTGAACGTTTCTGAGGAGCACAGTAACTCTTGTTGTTGTTCCTGCTACACCAACAGTGACTAATTCAGAAGTCCTTTTTTGTTAAACTAAAAAATAATTAGAAATTTGGGGTTTAATTGCGGTTGGCATTTTGGAGCTGGCTGCCAGAAAGCAGCCATCTTGGTAAAGGATGATGTCATTTGGAACACTTGGAGGTTTCACTTTATTCCTGGGTACCAGTTTTCATTAGCCATTGAATAACTGTAATCATTAGGCTAAATTTAGTTTTAAAGATAATGGAGGAGCTGAAATAAAAATCGTTAAAGCCACTTCTTTATCCTTTCTAACACATTACAAACTTTCCCTAAAGTTCAAAGTAATAGAAAAAACTTCACCCCATTTTCCCTCTATATTTTGTTTCCATGTGTTTGTTCTTCTGTTGACTAAGCTTGGGTAATAAAACGAGTCTGGTCGGTTTCATTTTCTGATTTTCATACATAAGTGAAAGCTGTTTTGTGTCAACAGTGTGAAGTGTTAAGAATCATCTCACCTGCTGGGCCAACTTCCTGTAAGCCTTTGTTTGGGAGGGGAGAAGGGGAAATGCAAGTTTTGATTTTGAATTTCTTATGCTCTAAAACTAGAACCCCGAATTAGACCACACTAGCATAATTAATCTGTGTTTAGTTTTGACCTACTTAAGTTTTCTAGGAGTGGGCAAGATCATGCGAAAGAGAATGATGGTTATGTTGCATTCCCACTTAATCATCACTATTCGTACAGCAGAATGCTCTGACTGCAGTTGCTTTGGAAAACTGGCCCTTAAAAGAGATGTTTTAATCCACAAAAATTGTCTTTTTTTTTCTTTTTTTATTAGATAAATATTACTGTCTTAATCCTATTGCCCAACAGGTCCTAGCATTGTCTGCAAGATGCAGAGAGAAAAGAAAAAACTTGCACCTTGTTTAGACAATTGAGCGCAGGGTGGTTTATGGGGTTATTAGGAGGAGTAAAGAGGGCGGTGTGTCTCTTCTGCAGATCTTTTCTTAACGAGGTTAACCTGTGGCTCCTGTCTCGTCGCCCTCCGTTCCTTGCAGGGGAACTTTCTGTTCTGTGAGCGCTATCCGAAGCCTCCTTCCCGGGCAAGCTCACTGAGAGATCACACTAAAAGGGCTGCGTGTCTGTTTGAAACAGACAGAGGGAGACAGGAGCACACACGGTCAGCGGAAGATGGGGCCACGGAGTCGGCGGGGGCTGGATGCCCGAGCCGGGCTGACCTTTCCACGTGTACCCAGCACCTGCGAGGCGAGTGGGGCATTAGGTTTCTTTTTCCCAGGAGCGGGCGCGAGCCCGGAAGAGGCTGGGCGGCCGCGGGCTTAGGTCAGGGGGCTGGGAGGCCCTCCCTCAGAACACGTGCGGCTGGCGAGCGGCTGGTGCGGAGGCTGGCCTGGCTTTCCCGCCCCGGCCGGGCCAGCGCCTCCCCAGCCAGCCGACGGGCGCCAGGAGGGCGGCGGCGGGTGAGTCTCGGAGCTTTCCGCCGGCTTAGCCGAGCGGCCTAGCGAGCGCGCCAAGCCCGGCTGGAGCGAGCCCCAGTGCAATACTGCCCGAGCCCGGGCGGGGTCTCTGTTCTCTGGCAGACGAGGTCCCTTGGCAGCGGGAAGCTCCCTCTCTTTCTCTCGCCGCCGCTCCGAGTCTGCGCCCTGGTGCCAGGCGCCCAGCTCGGCGCTCCCCTGTGCTCGCCCCGGCGCCCACTCATTCGCAGCCCAGCCTTCGCCGCCGCCGCCTCCCTGCTCCTCCTCCTGCGTGTCTCCCCAGCCCGCCGCGGCCATGGCGGACAGCGCCAGCGAGAGCGACACGGACGGGGCTGGGGGCAACAGCGGTGGCTCGGCCGCCATGCAGTCGTCTAGCTCGTCGACCTCGGGCGGCGGCGGTGGCGGCGGAGGAGGCGGCGGCGGTGGGAAGTCGGGGGGCATTGTCATCTCGCCGTTCCGCCTGGAGGAGCTCACCAACCGCCTGGCCTCGCTGCAGCAGGAGAACAAGGTGCTCAAGATCGAGCTGGAGACCTACAAACTCAAGTGCAAGGCGCTGCAGGAGGAGAACCGCGACCTGCGCAAAGCCAGCGTGACCATCGTGAGTGCCCCCCCGGGGTGCGCCGCGGTGCTGACCTCCGCCCGCCCCTGGGAGATGCTGCCTCCCGACCCGGGGCAGCCCCCGGGCTCTTCTAGGCTTCCGAGGACCAGCAGCGAGCACACTCTCTGCCAAGACCCGCCGGCCCCGGAGGGTGGAGGGAGTGGGAGGTGTCCCTTCGGGTCCGCGCTGGTCTGCCCTCCCCGGGGTCCAGGCCCCTCGCGGGGTGCGGGAGGAGGCTGCTGGGACCCCCCCCCCTCCACNGTTCCCTTGTCGCCCCTTGGGGAGGAGGCTCCTCAGGGAGGAGCTGGAAGCTGGCGGCGTGGCTGGGGGGGGGCGGCGGGGTGGGACTTGTTTCAGTCCTAGTTTGCTTGAGGGGTGCGTCCAGATCGGGGAGTCCTAGGCTGTGGGAGAGGCAGGAAGCCGGGGCCTGTTCCGGGGACCTGGCCGAGAGTGCGGGGGGTGTGCAGCTGGCCTGGGCACTTGGTTGGCATCAGGACAGCGCTAGCTGGATCGCCCGGGGAGGGGGCGGGAGAGAGTGGCCGGGAATCCGGGAAGTGCAGTTTTTCTGGCCAGGATCGAGAGGGAAGGGCGGGTACCGGAGCTGATGCTCCCACCTCCGTTGGAAGTCCTTTCCTGGGTGGGGGGGGGGGGGGGGTGGCGGCCGTGTACTGCTGGGAGAATGCAGCATCTTATACCGGCTTGGACAGAGCGAAGGGTATGGAGTCTGGACCGGCTGAAACCGGGGTGAAGGGGATCGGCTGACTCCCTCACCGAGCAAGAGGGAGCTGTTATTGTTGTTGTTGTTGTTTTGGCGTGTGTTTGCTTCCTTGGCGGTGGAGTGTCTGTCTGGGGGATATTTTGGTTCGGCATCTAGATATTTGACGGGAGAACGGGCTGTCTGTTCTGTTTCCACCTGGTCCCCGGAGGCTCCCGCAAAGAGGATAAGATTAGGTGTGTAAGTCTCGCTTCTCGTGTAGCAGGCCTTTAGAAAGGCCACGATTAGCTGTGATGAGGCGAAACATAACTGGGAAAAGTACAGTGTGTGCTCTCACCTACTATCCCTGCCGGCTAGCCACATCATTAACAAGCAGAATCCCCACACAGGCAACCCTGTTAGATCAAAACAGTTTCCCAGCCCGGAGGAGAGAGGAAAATGTCAAGAAACCGAGGGGATGAATTGCCATAGTTAACTCCACAATAGCTGATTAGGTTGAACCTTCAGATGCAGAAAAAATCGTGAATTCGGGGATGGATGGAAGATCACAACTCTGCAAAGGAAATGCGGCAAGTTTAGGATGCCCCTGTACCAGAAAGTCGTCAGTGGAGGACGGACTGTGTGTATCCACGCGCCCCACCCCCCCACCCCCGCCCCGTCCTGGCTCGCACTTGGGGACTGGATGGCATTCTGAATTTGCTTAGAAAGCAGGTTTTCACCAAAGTTTCATTGTGATAGGCAGCCTAAATAGAAATTGATTGCTGAAAGACACCCCGCATGCTCCGATCTAGCTCTGGTGAATGGCATTGAAGCAATATTCAGACTGTCAAGTTCTTGAAGTGCCCTTTTGGTAGGATGGGGAGGAATTTGCAGAGGCAGCCACTTCCAAGCCTCTTCTGGAGCCTTCTTGGCTGAGAGAGATGTCTTTGGTGAGTGGAGGTTTGAGAAGAGGGGGAAGTTGGTGGAGGCAGTTTATTTAAGATTGGAGTTAGTAAATGAGAGGGTGAGTCTGGTCTCTTGGAGAATGTGAACCACTGAAAGTAGTGAAACTTGCATAAAATGGAATCTCTGACTTCTTGCATACTGTGAGCAATTCAGGCTGTTTTTGTTTGGGAAGGAGGATGGCGGGGTGGAGAGACTATGAAAGGGTTAGCTGTTTGACACTTGACCATATTAAAAGTAGGTCTGTAAATTGTACACAGACACATTCATTCCTGGTGTGTAAGATCACAGGCCACTGAACACTTGGCATGAAGAGTTGTGTGAGGTGGTGGCTTCATTGGAACTTCCCTCTACTAAAACTGACATCTCACCAAATACACTTTGTGAAAAGTTCTGCGGCCTCACTGAGTCAAATTTTAAAATTGTTTTGGATGACAGCCTATAGGTACCAGAAGACTTTCCATTCTTTAATCTCTGATGAATATATTCAGGGAGATAAATAAAAAGTGCTTGTGGTGTATTGAGTTCCCTAATACTTGGCAGGTGTTACTCAGGCAAATGCAGAGGAGAGATTCCTTTGAGCGTTTTGTTGGAGTTGACTGACTTAGGACACAGATTGTGGTGAGTGGGTGTGACCTTTAGGGTTTGTAATTTGGGAGGAAAAATGTGTGACTACATGAAGTAAGTCTGTGGATGTAAGGATTCCATTGAACAACACTGTGCCATAGTCTGTGTCAAGGTTAAGCTGCATGAAACTTGCTGCTAGCAATCCAGGAAGTTTGTGAAAAGACTTAAATATTAAGTGAAGGCCTTGGTAGATTTCTCACTAATTTTATTTGAAGAGAAGATGGTGCCAGAATCCTATATTTGTCTTCATGGCTCTTACTAGTAACTCTAATTATGATATTAACTTTAACATTTTTGAGCACAGAAGGTGATTGTAGATGTCTTTTCCTTGCTGCTCATTTACACCCTGGGAAGAGAGAGGTGTTGCTTTTTGGGGGGTGGGGTGGGGTAGTTTTAGTTTAGCAGCAAACTTAAGCAGAAGGTACCAGGAAAATACTCCCTGCCCTTCCTCCCTTCCTCCATTATCAACATCCGCCACCTGAATGGTGCATTTGTTACAACCTATGAACCAACATTGAAACAACATAATCACCCAAAGTCTATAGGGTTCACTCTTGGTGTGGTTCATTCTATTGGTTTGGGCAAGTGTACAGTGGATTGTAGCACCATGATAGTGTACAGAGCAGGTCCAGCGCCATCAAAATGCTCCGTGCTCAGCCTTTTTGTCCCTCACTAACCCCTGGCCACCATCAATCTTTTTTCTGTCTTCCATCAGTTGAGTTGCTCAGTTGTGTCCGACTCTCTGCAACCCCATGAACTGCAGCATGCCAGGCTTCCCTGTCCATCACCAACTCCTGGAGCTTGCTCAAACTCATGTCCGTGGAGTCAGTGATACCATCCAAACACCTCGTCCTCTGTCGTCCCCTTCTCCTCCTGCCTTCAATCTTTCCCAGCATCAGGGTCTTTTCCAGTGAGTCAGTTCTTCACATCAGGTGGCCAAAAACATAGTTTTGCCTTTTCTGGGAAGTCATATATTTGGAATCATTCAATCTGTAGCCTTTTCAGATGGGCTTCTTTCACTAAGTAAGATGCATCTAAGTTTCCTCCCTTTTCTTCCTGGCTTGGTAGCTCATTTCTTTTTTCTTTCTTGGCTGCACTGAGTCTTCGTTGCAACACATAGGCTTCTCTAGTTGAGGTACAGGCTCAGTTGCCCTGCAGCATGTGGGATCTTAGTTCCCTGACCAAGGATTGAACCCACGTCCTGTGCATTGGAAGGTGGATTCTGAACCACTGGACCACCAGGCAAGTCCCTCCTTTCTTTTTAACATTGAATGATATTTCTTTGGCTATACCACAGCTTACTTATCCATTTACCTACTGAAGGACTTGGTGGCTTCCAAGTTTTGGCAGCTGTGAATGAACCTGCAGTACACTTCTTTGTGCATATTTTGGGGGTAGACAGAAGGTTTCTGCTCATTTGGGTAAGTAGGGAGGAGCTAATTGCTGGTAGTACGGTGAGAGTATTTTCATTTTGTAAAGAAACTGCCAAACTTTTTGGAGTGACTGTACCATTTTGCATGCCCACCAGCAGTGATGAGAGTTCCTGTTGCTCCACATCCTTGCTAGCATTTGGATATTATCTGTCTTGGATTTTGTCCATCCTAGGAGGTGTGTAGTGATATCTCATTATTGGGCCCTCATTTTTTAAGCCAAATCCAAAGGCCAACAGAAATTCTTAACCAGCAGTCATTTCTGTCTCTTTTGGTATGTAGGTGCTTATTCTAGTTAAGCTACCCTTTTAATAAAGGACCGGTTTCATGGTCTGTGTTTGCCACATCTGTATGATAGAGGTAAACATCATCTGTGGGGAAGAATCAACTGTACAAGACCTTTCATTCTTGTCTACAAGTGTCCACTGCCACAGCTTTCCCCTGGTGTGTTTTATTTGGGTTAGTGGTGGAATGGAATGTTTTGAGTGATTATCCGATTTCTCCCAGTAAATCAGCAGTGGAGCCAGACTGCTGATTATCAATCATAACTTCTTCTTTGGAGTAGAGAAAATAAACAAAACAAAACAAAAATTGCTCAGTTACACTGTTGAGTAGCTTTTAGATGTTAGGCTTGATCTTTCTGACTTGTCCTGTGGGTTAAAATGTAATAGGAGATTGTCTGAGTCAACGTAGTGAGAGGAATCCAGGGGTCGTGGTCTCTGAGAAGATGAAATGTAATTGTGGGCAGTAATTGAATGGCTTCTAAGTTATGGACTAGTTTCTCAAAGTATAAACAGGGTCTTATTCCTGGATGCTAGTTCACCAAGGTGTGTTTTCTGGACCAGCTCAGACCTTTGCCATATGTTTGGTTTGGAAGTAAAGGCCCATGACAAATTACTAGAGTTTAAGTGTCTTTTTCTTTTTTTTTCTTTTTTTTTTTAAGTGTCTTTTTCTATCTATAATATTAGTCTTTCATTATAGAAGTTGAGGGAAACAGGAATACAAAGATCTTTTGAAGTTATAGAAGAAAAACGTGTTGGTATGGCATTTAGATTAGAAAACTTGGCTGTTTTAAATATCAACAGTGTAAAAAATAAATAAATATCAACAGTGTAACAATTTCATTAACCAATAAAAGCTACCATATAGTTAATGTTGTGGATTTCAGATTATTTACTCTGGATGCCCAGTACACTATTTTCCATTGCTTAAGATTTTGTTTTGGCAGATTATGAAGCTGTCAGATCAACATTGCCCTTATAAAAAGGTGTAGTGTGTGACTTTTT